AGGGTAAGCTGGGACAAAGCGAGAGAGTGGCATGGACATATATACACTACCAAGTGTAAAATAGATAGCTAGTGGGAAGCAGCCGCATAGCACAGGGAGATCAGCTCGGTGCTTTGTGACCACCCAGAGGGGCGGGATAGGGAGGGTGGGAGGGAGGGAGACACAAGAGGGAAGAGATATGGGAACATATGTATATGTATAACTGATTCACTTTGTTATAAAGCAGCAACTAACACACCATTGTAAAGCAATCATACTCCAATAAAGATGTAAAAAAAAAAAAAAACTATACAGCTGGAAGAAGCCTTAAAGATCATCTAATCCAACCTCATTTTACAACACCATGGCCAAAGAAGGATTTAAAATAAAAATGTTTATTCCCTTCTCATACTATCTTGAATATCTTGGTCCACATTTCCTTTCTATGTTCACCAGGCCAGGGAGGTTTTCTAATCATTTATAAGTGTCAGACACATACAATCTACCCAGGACAATAATCTTCTTTCTCCTAGAGCATATCTCCACTATCCATCCAAATCTGCCATTGCTGACCACTTACCTACTAGGTCACCTGACTATCCTGAACTGTTGTTTTATATACCTATCTGTGGAGAACCCTCTGTGCATCAAGATTACCACAGCACACTAAATAACTGGAAAGAGTTACAACTGCTGATGCATTTCAGCAGAGATGGCTAGTTCTTATCTCATTTTATTTTGGTAACAGAACCCAATTTTACTCAGGGTAACAATGAACCCAGCTAAGGTACTATATTGTCCAACCTCCCTTACAGTTAGGAGTGGGTACTTGTGAAAATGATGTGAGCCTGGCCTATAAGAAATTCTCCTTTATGCTTCCCTACATTCTTTCCCCTTTCTGGAGAACAGGGACAGACCACAGCCACCTTGGAGGCCACATGCTAGAAGATGGCAGAGTCTCCAGCGGCCTGGGTCCCCTGCCAATGGAAGTGTGCTACTCTTGCCAACCAGGTCAACTGCCTCAGACTGTTACATGTTTGAGGCATTATACAATTTGCGGTTTATTTGTTACAGAAGCTATCACTATCCTCATATAGCCATCAAAAGGATAAAGTTCCTGGAATATAATCATACTCGCACCTTAAACTTTCAACAAATTTAACATGGTGTACAGAAAGCTAAATATTAAAACCCTTCTGTGATATGTTTATAATAAATTACTTAAATGTTTTCTGCATTTTCATTTATATTTTTACTACTTCTGGTTATGGACCAAAGCCAGATATTTAACTATCTTATGACATTATATTCTGAAGGTAATCTGTGCTTTAATATAAAAACATTTTATTCCAAGAAAAATTAAGAAAAATAATTTCTACACATAAGTTTTCCTACTAGTTTCTTGGCTAAGTAACATGAAGAACTTAAAGGCCTGTTAAGACTTACCAATGAAGTACAAGAGGCAGGATGATTATAAGGATACCACCACACTGTTTTATATATGTTGATGTACTGAATGAACAGAGCAACCAGCAAGTAGATGAAAAAGAGAAATTCAAAGAGCAGGCTCCCATCCACAGGCAAATCAGGAATTTGGCAATGACGAACAGGACCTGGGGTGATTAAGGCTGTGATAGGTGGGACCGGAAGGCCAATAGCACTACCATTCCTAAAAAGAGAAAATTATGGTTAATTCAAATGGTGACATCTTTCAGTGTCAAAGAGCACAAAGGGGTTCTGCTTCCTTCTTCACCTACACTTTAACTGTTGGCCTTCCTCAAGACTCTATTCTGGGACCTTTTGCTCGTCTCTTTCCCCTCTGTACACTCTCTCTCCGTAATGTAATACATGGTCATGGCTTCCATTATCTCCTACATGCTGAAAACTAACATTTCTCTCCAAAAAGCTCACCGCTGCATTTTAGATCCATGATATCAAGTTGTCTACTGGACATCTCTGTGGTTCTCCTCCTACAATCCTGACCCTAGTCCATGGCCCACCCAGTTAGCTGCCCAAATCAGAAACCTGGGAGTCATATTAGGAATTTTCTTCTCTAAATCATATATACTCCACTTTATAAATCTTTTTCCAAACTGCACTCTCCTCTCTAAACCCACTGCCTAAGTTCAAGGAGTTACCATTTTTCACTTGAACTACTGAGGTAATCCCTCTAAATTCAACTCTACTTTGACCAAATCCTCCAACCTGCCTTCAAAGATCTTTCTAAAGTGAAACTGATAGTGGACTCTCTTGCCTAAAACTCTTTAGTGGCTCTCCACTAATAGCATAATATCCAAAAATGTTTAGTCTGTCCTATGAGGCCCTCTGCTTAACAGACTACTCTCATCTCTTATCACTCCTCCACATGCACCCTATATACTACCCATGCTATTTGCTATCTGTGAATATACATGCTATTCCTTTGTATACACCATTCTTTTCACCAGCAATGCCCTCCACAATCACCTTCCTTAAAGTTTCATATACACATTTACAGACAAAATCCTTCAAGACTTTTAAAATGATCAAACATATCCTCTAAAAGCTTACTCTGACTCACTCAATCAAAACTGATTCATCTCTCCTCTGTGCCACCATTATACCTAAACTCTGCCTTTATTGCACTTTTCATACTGTTATACAGTTTTTTTCATTATACTGTTATATAATTTTTTTGCATACATCTTTTTGTCTATCAGATCATAATCTTAAGGACAGAGACAGCACTGTTCCTAGTTTACTGCAAATACATACCTTTAGGCTGAGGAGACAGCAGACCAATACAGTCATTAAAAAGAGGGAGATCTCTTAAAACACAAATTAAAATGTAGAGATTTTAATCCCTATCTTCTTCTTGTTCTTTCTTCTAAGTGTTTTTGTAAGTCACAAATAGCTGGGCTATCTAAAATGATAAGATGAGGGACTTCCCTGGTGGTCCAGTGATAAAAGACTCCACACTCCCAATGCAGGGGGCCCGGGTTCAATACCTAGTCAGGGAACTAGAACCCGCATGATGCACCTAAAAGATCCTGCATGCTGCAACTAAAGATCCCACACGCAGTAAGGAAGATACTGTGTGCCACAACTAAGACCTGGAGCAGCCAAATAAATAAATAAATAAAATGATAAGATGAGGGTAAGGAATAAAATTTCCCATTGTTTATATGCCTGTGAATAGAGATCTAAGGGTCTACTATTGCTAATAGAACAAGGAAAAGAGGCTTGGTTTGGTTATTTCCAAAGAAGATTCTAGAGAAGGAACAATATTACTGTTACCATTCTACTCTAAAATTTTCAAATATAGAATTCTACCATTAGTATGTGACATTTACAGTACTTTAAGTGACTCATGGGAATATGAACTCTGCTCATTCTGAACAGTTAAGAATACCATGGCAGAGGGCTTCCCTGGTGGCGCAGTGGTTGAGTCTGCCTGCTCATGCAGGGGACACGGGTTCGTGCCCCGGTCTGGGAAGATCCCACATGCCGCAGAGCTGCTGGGCCCGTGAGCCATGGTCGCTGAGCCTGCGCGTCCAGAGCCTGTGCTCCGCAACAGGAGAGGCCACAACAGTGAGAGGCCCACGTACCACAAAAAAAAAAAAAAAAAATACCATGGCAGAAACTCAGAAGAACTAGAAGGGAAGAACAGGGATGGAAGGAGAGTCAGAAAAAATTATAAAAATTTCTTCCCCTCATTCTCAGGAGTGCACTCCAACAGAACAAGCTTACCAAGGAGTAGGTTGTGATCTACCAGTAGGTCTCAAAACCTTACTTGCTTAGTCATAAACCAATCATTAATACACCACTATCCTCTGATCTGTTCTGGGAGATGGGCTGCAGCACTGCACAACTCCAGGAGGTATTTTTCACACAGAATACAACATGAAAGGTGCCCTCTGGAGTTGTTCAAGTTGGTGAACTTGGAGAGAATTAATGCCAGCAGCCATTCTATTCCCTCACTCCATTTAATCATAAAATACGGAAACAAAAAATTCTGATGAGGAGCCTCTACTCTAGGATAAACTAAACATTCTCTACAGCAAATAAAATTTCTTATTCCTCTTCAGTCAGAAGTACATGCTAAAATATCTGTTATGATTTAAAGGTTTTTACAGAATTTTCCTAAGTAAAGCAGATTAATTCTGCTGTTAACAAAGTTAATAACACTCTGGGCTTCAAGAAAAATATTAAAAACAAAATACAAAAGATCTATATTTGTGGAACTACCATATGATCCAGCAATCCCACTCCTGGGCATATATCCAGAGAAAACCATAATCCAAAAGGATACCTGCATCCCAATGTTCACTGCAGCACTGTTTACAATAGCCAAGACATGGAAGCAACCTAAACGTCCACTGACAGATGAATGGATAGAAAAGATGTGGTACATATATACAATGAATATTACTCAGCCATAAAAAAGAATGAAATAATGCCATTTGCAGCAGCGTGAATGGACCTAGAGATTGTCATACTAAGTGAAGTAAGTCAGACTCAGAAAGACAAATATCATATGATATTGCTTATATGTGGAATCTAAAAAAAGGTACAAATGAACTTATTTACAAAACAGAAACAGAGTCACAAATGTAGAAAACAAACTTATGGTTACTGGGGGAAAGGAGATGGAGGGATAAATTGGGATTGGGATTGATATATACACACCACTATATATAAAACAGGTAATAAGGACCTACTGTACAACACAGGGAACTCTACTCAGTACCCTATAATGACCTATATGGGAAAAGAGTGGATATATGTGTATGTATAACTGACTCACTTTGCTGTGCAGCAGAAACTAACACAACATTGTAAATCAACTGTCCTCCGATAAAAATTTAAAAAAAAAAAAAAAGGATGCCCTCAATCCTCCTCCCTCATACTTGGAAAAGCGCTGCTCTTCTGTACACCCATTAAATTCTGTCCCTAGTTCCCTTATCACACTTATCATTCATACAGTATTGAAATATTCTCTCCCCTGGTAGACAGTAAACCACATGTAATCAGAAATCAAGATGTTAGGGAACTACTGACCAAAACAACTCACCTTGGCCAGACACAATAATAACTGCTTGCATGAGTTATCTCGTAACAGGAGATCCCAATAAGGAACATGGTGCTGCTGCTGAAAACTAACTGGGAGAATTTGGGAGGGGCCAAAAAGAGGGAGGAGATGCCAGCCCATAATATGTCCTGCCAACCTCCCAGAAACCCTCATGCTAGAATCCATCTTGGCTGAGAGATACGTGCGTCACCAGGAAGTACCGAGTCAGACCAAATATGGCACAAGCAAGATGACTGGCCAGAGACAACCCAGAAAGCTAACCCCATTACCATAAAACCTGAGACTGCAAGCCAAGTAGCAGAGCAGTTTTCCTGGGTTCCCTTACCCTGCTGCTCTCTGTCCGGGTGCCCCTTCCAAATAAAGTCTTTTGCTTTGTCAGTTAAAAAAAAAAAATCTGTTATTTGTGATAACCTATACAGCCTTGGCTATTATACTTCAAGCCAAAAGACAGAGACAAACATCAAATATAGTGATCCAGAGAATCAGTTGGAAAGAGGAAAGTAATTCTATATGTTAAAAGTTTGAGAGGAAATATGATCAAAGATCTTATAACCAAAAAAAAAAAAAAAGAGCTAAAATAAATAGACTTGGTCAATACATCTCAGAAAATTAATTACGGAGGTATCATTTAAGAAAAATTAAAAGTATTGTTCCTAGGGCTTCCCTGGTGGCGCAGTGGTTAAGAATCCGCTTGCCAATGCAGGAGACATGGGTTCGATCCCTGGGCCAGGAAGATCCCACATGCCGCGGAGCAACTAAGCCCGTGTGCCACAACTACTGAGTCTGCGCTCTAGAGCCTGCAAGCCACAACTACTGAGCCTACGTGCCACAACTACTGAAGCCCATGCACCTAGAGCCCATGCTCCACAACAAGAGAAGCCACTGCGATGAGAAGCCTGCGCACCGCAACGAAGAGTAGTCCCTATTCGCCGCAACTAGAGAAAGCCCGCATGCAGCAACAAAGACCCAACACAAACAAAAATAAAATAAATCCAAAAAAAATGTATTGTTCCTCTGAAAGAATATAAAACAGATTCAAGAAGAGCAAAGTGACACAAATGTTTGAGATACAATGTGGGAGAGTTCCAGTCCCAGATATCCCACTAACCAGTTGTGGTTTTTGAGAAAGTAACTTTATATCCCTGAGCCTCAGTTTCTTCATCTATAATACAAGGGTTGGAAAAGATTCTCTTCAAAGAACTCTTCTCAATGCTATCACTGAATATTCTCTTTCAAACTGTGTTGCAGGTCCCCAAGACCATGACTAAGCCTGATGATTCACTAGCAGGACTCACAGGACTGCACATATAGTCATGTTCATGGCTTCGATGTATAACAGCAAAAGAATACAAATCAAAACTAGCAGATAGGGGCTTCCCTGGTGGCGCAGTGTTGAGAGTCCGCCTGCCAATTTAGGGGACACGGGTTCGTGCCCCGGTCCGGGAAGATCCCACATGCCGCGGAGTGGCTACGTGAGCCATGGCCGCTGAGCCTGCGCTTCCGGAGCCTGTGCTCTGCAACGGGAGAGGCCACAACAGTGAGAGGCCCGCGTACCGCAAAAAAAAACAAAAAAAAAAACTAGCAGATGGAAAAGGTACCAGGCAAAGTCCAGAGGAAACCAGGTGCAGACTTCCAAGAGTCCCTTCTCAGTGGAGTCATATAGGATGCACTTAACTCCTTCAGCAACTAGTTATGACAACATGTGTGAAGTGCTGTCTACCAGGGAGCTTCATTAGAGGCTGAGCAGGCAAGGTTTTTTACTGGAGATGAGCCACGTAAATACTCTTTACCTAGCACTACCAAAATTCCAGACTCCCCAAAGGAAAGCAGATGATCAGCATAACAATCCTTAGAAAGGACTGCACAGGAGGCTGGCACCTGGGAACCGGACTGGTAAACAGTCCCCTCCACTGATACAAAAGCTTCCCTAAATAATAAGAGTGCCTGAACTATTTGTGCAAACAATATGAATTATGGTGAACCCTGCTTTGTCCTTGTATGCAGGAAAGAGTTAACATAGCAGACCTAAGACTGGCTTTTACGGAGCTAGCAAGCAGCACATTTTAGGTAAGCAAACGGATAAAGCAAGAAAAATTTAAAGGAATAAAAAAGAACTAAAAGGGATAGAGAAAGCAGTGATCATTCGGACATGCTCAGGTGATATTATTAACTAAGCATACAAGAACAAAACAAAGAAAAAAATCACTCTTAGTCCTTCTCAAATAAGATTCTCCCTCAACTAAAAGCTCTCTAAAAACTCAGCAGTTCACAGTATATCCTCCTTCTTTAGATGGCAATCATCTAAGCACATAGTCCCAAGAACAAATCCCTGCTCCCCACAGGTAGAAAGCAGGACAGGATGGATTTCAATTCTGATTGTGTCACCAAACTACCTCTTTGACATTTTCAAGTTTAACTTCAAACAGGTCACAAACACCTAACAAACAGGGGCAAATGCTCTCTTCTTCTGCTGATTTCTGTCTTGCAGAATCAAGTATAATATCCAAAATTACATCACACTTAAGCAATTGTCTATTTATCTCTTCAATACTCTACAGACACTCCAGAAATGAGTTCTCTGCATCTGGACATTGTCTTTCTTTATACACATCCTTCCTAAAATCATATTCTAGGCTATCTAACACTGGTTTTATCCACACTTTTTATACCCTTTCCCCAGGTCTTGTAAAACAACCTGTTCTAGGCTGCTTCTTTCCCATCAAGAAACAAATATAGGACTGTCTGTCTTCTTCCAAAATAACCCCTATAGGTAAAAATGTCACAAAATAATCCCTCATAATAGCTTTAGTGATTTTTCAAAACATGAGCAACTATTATTTTTCACTTTATTCTAATCTGTTGAAAAATAAGTCCTTCTCCCCACCAACACCATTAATTGCTAAAGAAATATACGTTAAGGGAGGAAAGTTGATGGAGAATGGTAGATCAAGGCAACCATAACTAGAACCTGGAAAGCCAGGATAGAAGAGCTACAAGGAAGACAGATCACATGCTCAGAGCTAAACTCATTTAAGAGCAGAGGTATTTTCTAAATGTTCTTAGTTCTTCCCAGTATTCTATCTGCAGACTTAAGTACATGCAGAACCATCTGAGAATGTGGTTTTCAGCTCTTTTTAAATAGCAGAACAGTTCATATTCCCTCCCCCAAAAGATATTTTACATGGTATCCTAATATTTAAAATACACAGGAGAAAAAGTTAGTCTCATTAAGAGAGAACTGGGAAACCTAAAGCCTAGACTACTAGGCCTGAATGACTTTTTCTCCCTTCTTTGTGCTCCTACAGCAGCCCAAAACACTGAGGAGGGTTTCCATGGGACGGTATGAGAATCTAATCTAATCTAAGAATCTAGGGAAATCCTCAAAGTCAAAGTAAATGAACAAAGAACTACTGGAGGGCTTCCCTGGTGGCGCAGTGGTTGAGAGTCTGCCTGCCGATGCAGGGGACACGGGTTCGTGCCCCAGTCCGGGAGGATCCCACATGCCGCGGGGCGGCTGGGCCCATGAGCCATGGCCGCTGGGCCTGCACTTCTGGAGCCTGTGCTCCGCAACGGGAGAGGCCACAGCAGTGAGAGGCCCGCGTACCGTCAAAAAAAAAAAAAAAAAAAAAGAACTACTGGAGTTAATACAGAGGCAGAGTTAGAATACTGTAGCTAGCTAGAATCTTAGCTAGGCACAGCTATGATTTTCTACTGCAATTTGAAAGTACTGAATCACTAAACTGATGGTCAGTATATATTAGTAAAATTAAAGCATGAACTTCAAATAGGAAACATCCTTCATCTCAGTATCTATGCTGGATAGTACCTTTCCTCAAGAGCTTTTTCACATAGTCTGATTTTTTCATTTTTCTTTATTAAAAAAAAAAAAAAAAACATGTTATTTGTAGAAATTTTGGAAAATTCAGAGTAAAGTTTTTAAAAGTTACTGCAATTTACTACTTCATTTATTTCCAAGCAGAAAGTACTTATTTATGAAGCAGAAAGTATTACCGTTTTTAAAATGAGGAAATCCAAAGAACAGGAGAGTAAAAATATTACTCTAGGATAAATTATAAGTACTCTGTATGCATATGTAAATATAAAATTTGGATTGAAAATTAGTATAATGAGAATCAGCCTGGAAAGTCCCTTCAAACTGGAATTTCAGGGAGAGCCCCACTGAAATGACAAGATCAGAAATGATTCTGAAGACAGAGTAGAGCTTGGGGTGGAAGGTCAGAAAGAAAGAAGGGCAGGCCAGAAAGAGAAAGTGCACAAATAACATCAGGAGGGTCTGAAAAGACAAGAGTAGTACTGACTGCTAGCTGTGAAAAATAGAATCCAGGCCAGAGAAAACTCTATTCAGGGAGGAAGCAGAAAAAAAAAATTATCTTGACCAAACAATCCAGTAAAAGCCATCTCTTTCTACTGCTACATGATTGAACCTCCTGATGAAATGAGTTATCCTGGATAATTTTAGAAATAATTCATTCTAACTTTTGAAAATTAGGAATAGGGATAAATTTCCATTGAGAAAATCAAATTCTTTATTCTCGTACAACATGACACAAATCTTAAGATGTTTAGGCTACAGCTGATAGTTTATTCATTTCATTTTGAACAAAATAATTTTTAAGACCCTTGACAGAATATGACAATTTTAGAATCACATGTTAACTGTCTATTTTAATTTGCCCTCCCCAAAAAAGAATGCTAGTAAGTAGTTAAACCATCATATTCATCTTGAATGGTAATTTATTTCTCTCTTCTTTTAATAGCTGAAAAAAAAGGTGATGACTAGAATTTGGATTATCAGCCATAAGTATGAATCAGCCTGTTTTCACTTTGTGGGCATCACAACTTTCTATCTCCAAAGTATTCTGAAATACTTCGTTTTCAATCTTTAGGGTCAGGATTTCTACTTCAGTGTCAGAAAACAATCTTGATAAGCAAATATCTGAATAGTCTGTATTAGTCTTCTGTATTAGCCTTACTGATCATAGGATATTACAAATTACGCAAAGTCTTATTTCTTCTTTACCTGTTTCTCAGGCCTGTTCCATTGCCACAGCCCCCACCAACCAAAGTCTGCAAAGAAGGTAAAGCTGAACGGCTTAGCTGCTGCCGACTAGGGCCCCTCCTTCCACCGGGCATGTCCAGGAACCAGTCTGCTTCCAGTGCCACCTGTAGCTGCAACCCAGGTTAACGGTTGTCAGCCTGTTTCAACACTGAACAAAAAGAGACATTTAAATATCAGTTTACTATTTTTAAAGTAGGCAGTGTAACAAAACAACCAGAAAAACTGAGTGAGCAGACCTTGTAAAACCAGATTGTCAAACAAATGCTCCCAATGTCTATTACCTAGTTTATTCTAATGAAAGGACTACTCAGCCTCCAATGGGTCAGAAGCCTAAGTTCTAATCTAAGCTCTGTTTGAAAGATATTACAATCAGGTAGAAATTTACAAGAAACATTGAATATATACATTTCCAGTTCAAAAGTAGTATTTCACAGGGGCTTCCCTGGTGGCGCAGTGGTTGAGAGTCCGCCTGCCGATGCAGGGGACACGGGTTCGTGCCCCGGTCCGGGAAGATCCCACATGCCGCGGAGCGGCTGGGCCCGTGAGCCATGGCCGCTGAGCCTGCGCGTCCGGAGCCTGTGCTCCGCAACGGGAGAGGCCACAGCAGTGAGAGGCCCGCGTACCGCTAAAAAAAAAAGTAGTATTTCACAATACGCCACTTGAAATGCAGAAGAATCAGCACTGTCCAAAATGTTAGGTTTCGTTATCAAGGGAATCTAGATTCTGAGATCAATTCTTATCATGACTTCCTAATATCTGACTTCTTATTATCTGACTTGGAAGCATTTAACCTCTGAGTTTGTTTCCTCATCAGAAAAAAAAGCGTTCCTTGTCCTACAGAGGTGGTTGTCAGGACTGACAAAGATGCCTGAAAGTACATCAGAAGGTCTTTTAACGCTTTAAAAGTAAAACTGTTCAAGTGGTATTCCACATGTTAGAGTGAAAATACTGGAAAGAGCTCAAGTGGATGACTACTCCAGAAAAACTGATGTAAAATCATTTAGAAATTACTGAAACTGCAGGATTAAAAGACAAGTAATACATAAAGACCATCACTGAAAAGAAACTGTTTTTATCAATCTATGGCAAAGTCACGGCTCCGCCAATATGGATACCAAAAATCTGTTTCCTAAACAATACAACTTAAAAACTGAAGAACGACGCCGTGGAAAAACCTTGGTTTTCAAAACGTTACAGCAGATATCCTCTGTTCCCTATTCCTAACAGCTTTCGGCTGCAGATTAACAAACGCCAGGTGAGGCAAAGCATTCAAACCGTTGAATGTAGAGGCAGCTGGTCCTTGCTCAATTAACCAGCAAAGGGTAAGAAAAGTGTGGAGCAAAAAAATTGGGACGGAAGAGGACGAGAGGATGGGGTGGGGAAAGGTGGGCGGCGAGAGGACCACAAACTTCAATAGACTGGCCCCTAAGAGGGGATGACAAAGCGGCCCCCGCCGCGCAACCTGGAGGGCCGAAGCAGGCCAGGGACAATCGGACAGCGCGGCAGCTCGGTAATACTCACGCATGGAGGAGGCCAGGCCAGTGGGGAAGGATCCCTGGGAGAAGGCGGCTTTACAGGCTGGACCCCAGGCAAGAGAACTCCCTGCCCAGGTTGAGGCGCTACAAACCAGTTGCTTGCCCGCGGGTCGTCCCCTCCCGGAGAGTCGAGAAAAAGTGTCCTGGCTTCGCGCTGCCAGACCCAGACACCGAGTCAGTGCCAGAGTCAGAGCCAGAGCTAAAGCTAGAGGCAGAGCCCGGCCCCGTCAGCACTCATCCTCAGCCTCCATTACCACGGAGCTGAGCAGACGTGGCAGCGCACAGTGGTGACGTCAGCTCCGCGACGGCCTACCGCCCCAGCCGCGAACAGGCCCCGGAACTACACGAGAGCCAGGGAGGGAGCACCGCACCACGTCTTGCGTGCACCTGCGCAGTGGAACTCGCCTTCTCCGCTGGTGTCGCGGTCCCGCCTTCCCCGCTAGTACTAACCAACGTATTTCCTCCCAAGCTCCAACGACGTGCGGACAACCATGTTAGGGCTTATTCCTGTTATCTCATGGACTCCAAGTAACAACCGTGTTCAAGTTATCAACCCCCTTTTTACAGATGGGGGAGGTTGGGAGACATCACCTGAGCTCAAGTCACTGCTAGGTAAAGGAGATGGAGCCGCGAAGTCGTGCTTCAGCAACAAACCTTGCGCTTATTTTATGTTAAGAAAAGGACTAGGTAGATTGTGGAGTTACAAAAGTGAATATCCCAAAGAGCTCACAGTCTAGTAGAAGAAACAATACACCAGGAAAACACAGTAATTACAATTTATTACAATAAATATAACATTAAAAGTATGCCCAAGGGGACTTCCCTGGTGGCACAATGGTTAAGAATCCACCTGCCAATGCACGAGACAAGGGTTCGATCCCTGGTCCGGGAAGATCCCACATGCCGTGGAGCAACTAAGCCTGTGTGCCACAACTACTGAGCCCGTGTGCCACAACTAATGAAGTCTGTGCACCTAGAGCCCATGCTCTGCAACAAGAGAAGCCACCCCAATGAGAAGCCTGCACACCCCAAGTAGAGTAGCCCCAGCTCGTGGCAACTAGAGGAAGTCCGCGTGCAGCAACGAAGACGCAACGCAGCCAAAAATAAATAAATAAATTTATTAAAAAAAAAAAAAGTATGCCCAAAGTCCAGAGACAGCATGCAAGACACGGTACTAAGCTCTGTGGGTTGTGGTGTCAATCCCAAGAAAATCTTCACAGAAAGCTTGGGGTTTAAAGACAAGACTGCAAGAACGAATAAGCCGTTTCATTTACACTTTCCTTTATATAACATATATAGCTGTATACCTATACTGAACAGCAAAATGTTGACCACTGTTTTTTTCTCTGAGTCACCCCAACTGTTATAAACTGCTATTACAAAGAGATGTGTGCTATATACTATCTGCAACCCTTTGGGGTCTAACAGTACTGTACACATTCAGGTGCTCAACAAATCTATGCTATTTAGTAAGAAGCAGTTCGAGGTTGTGAAAGAACTACTAGCCTAGGTTGCGCCCGTAACTGTGAATCTGTGGGCGAAAAACATATCCTCTCTGGCCTTCAGTTTTCTGGCTGCAGAGAATAAGATGTTTTCAAGACGTTACAGGATGTAAGAGACAAATATTACACATATTTTTCCCTGGGGATGCCATTTATTCATTCTCTCCTGGGATCCGATTTCACCTGAGAGCGCGCGCGAGACAGAGGGAGAGAGAGCTATATATGTGGATATGTGGATAGCTCGGCTCTAAACAAACGAGCAGGTGGTCAGCTACAGCCAGCCCGCACCGCACTGTGGTTAGCTGCGCGGTGGGTGCCCAGCTTCCCCGCGCCGCCTTCCCAGGGACACTTTGCGGCTGGCCGGGCTCGGGACCAGGATCCGGAGGCAGAGCTGAGCGCAGCAGTCTCACGGCGGGGCGGCCCTCCGCCCACGTGGTGCGGCTCCACGGCCATCTTTGTGCGGGGCTGCGCTTCCGCCCGCTCGCGCTGCAGCCTGGGCCCGGCAGTGGGAGGGCTGGCGATGGAGCGGTGGGTGCGCTCCCAGCTTCGGTTGTGGCTGCTGTTGCTACTCCTGTACCCGGTGCCGGGCTGCCAGAAGGAGTCAGGTGGGCTCCGGACAGGGCCGAGCCCACCGCTGGGGCTCGGAGTCTGGCCCGGTCCCGAGGCGCTCTCCCGCGCCCCTCGCTCCCCGTTGCGGCCGCCGCCACGCTCGTGCTGTGGCCGCTGCGGGGCAGAGCTGGGCAGGGGGCACGGGGGCACCTCGGAGCGGAGAGTGCGTTTAGGTGTCTGGCAGTGCTTCTCCTGCCCAGGACCCTGGAGAGTAACCCATCCTCCGGAATTGAGTGATAGAGGGGAGGGGAGGGCCATGCCCCTGTTTACCCACAGCGGGTATGGCCCACGCTCGGCTACCCCGCACTTCCCTAACACACTGGGGGATAATTCGTGTGTGTGTGTGTGTGTGTGTGTGTGTGTGTGTGTGTGCAGTGTTCTTAGTCCATTGCCAGAAGAGATGAAGGGAAGGTTAATAATGCCTGGGGATTTTAATCGATCCTCTTTGTGGAGCTCAGTTTGATTAGTAAAAGTTGAGAATCCGTGTCACCAGTTTATCCATAACCTTCTGAGTGTCAGGCATTAAGCGTGGAATTTTTCCCATTTCTTGGATACCTGGCAGCCCGAGTAAAGGGGCAGACTTGACCTGAGTGCAGGAGAACTGTAGAATGAATCCTTCCTGGAGGTTCATTTCCACCAGTGGGATGAGAAGAGGGTGTCTAAAAGTTTTGACCTTCTGTTGGTTCTGCCTGCTTGCTGCTAGTCAATAAGAGTGCTCAGGAGTATTTTGTTAAATTTGTTCCTTCACTTTTTGAAGGTTCAAAATGGAAAGTATTTATTGACCAAATTAACAGGGCTTTGGAGATTTATGAGCCATGTTCAAGTCAAAACTGCAGCTGCTACCATGGGTGAGTTCTTTTCTTTGACGTGTCTTTAAGAATTTAGATCTTGTCAGGAGGAAATTCCCTAAAATCCCCAAGAGACCTTGGTTGCAGTGGTCAGAGAGCCAAGCATGTTTTGAGAGCAGATAGGGTCCTTGCGGTGGTTTTCTTATATTTCTGGGGGATAAAAATACCCTGGGAGAGGAGAGGCCCAGGTGCCTGTTAACTCCTTGTGGGAATTAGTACATGTACTTGTCTGCTTTCTCCCCTGGACTGAAAGCTTCTTGAGGTCAAGACCTATGTCTTATATTCACTGTCATATTCCTGGTGCTGGCTCTCAGTAAGTACTCAATAAATACTGTTGAAGGAATGAACATATATTTAAATGAATCGAATCATAAGTTTCTTGTTGGTTATCTTTAATGTATGCAAATTAGGGCTGGAGTGTGTTATGGTAGAAAGATTACTTTGAAATCAGCCTTGGGTTCTAGTCCCAGATCCAAGTCCCAGATCCGAGACACTTCACTTCTCTAGATTTCAGATTCCTCATCAGCTAAATAACAGGGTCCTTTAACTCCTCGTTATGTTATTCTGTGATTCCTCAAAAAATTCACCTGATGTGTGTGATACTTACTGAAAACTTGCTATGTACTGAACTTTAAAAGGGATTCAAAATAGTGTAATTTCTGGTTACTCCTGTCAGTCATACATACCGCTAGAGTATGCAGGGTGGTAGGGGCCAAACAGACTAGAACATGGGACTCAAACAGTGTCAGGCTGTAAGGCATAGACCATACCTTCTGTGAGATTCAAAGAAGGGGAGGTCAGTGGGACTGCAGTGACTGGGAGGACGTGGGTGTGGCATGAGCAGTGAAGGAGGAATATACATCAGGCCAAGGAGGGGCAATCCAGATGGAGGGAGGTAGAAGAGATATTGACTTGCTTTTTCTTTTTTGTGGCTTTGTTGTTTTTGATATTTTAGATCGCCTAAGGTGCTTCCAGGAAAGAGGTTGCTCATTCCTGCCCTCTATTCTTTCCCAAAGCTTACGTGTTCTCTAATACTAAGCCTAGACCCACAGATAGGAAGTAGGTGGAATGGTATTATTCTCTTGGCCTGCCTTCCTTGATGATTCCCATTCTTTCCCAGTGTCATAGAAGAGGATCTGACCGCTTTCCGAGGAGGTATCTCCAGGAAGATGATGGCGGAGGTAGTCAGACGGAAGCTAGGGACCCACTATCAGATCATTAAGAACAGATTATACCGAGAAAATGACTGCATGTTCCCCTCAAGGTAAGAGATATGAGGTACATATATCTTCTGATCTTATTGCATAAGGGCTTACTTGATACTACTCTTATAGAGAGTCCAATGAAAGGGACTTACAGGTAAACCCTTCCTCACATTTCAGAAGGACTACAAAATAGTGACAAACTCTTCTGCTTGCCTGGGAATTTTTCTTGCCAACCTCTCTTCTCCTATCTCCTATATCAAAGCCTGTCTCCTCTCTCTTTGTAAGGCTGAGGCACATCACTGATTGTACTGGCTGTGACTCTGCCCTTTCTCCTTCCCCAGATATAGTAGCTGCAGGACACAGGCCGATGAGACCTAGCATGAGTGAGCTGGGCTGAAGGAGGAGGAGAAGCGTTGACTGACTGTCAGGGCCAACTACTATTCTAGATACCAAGTATTCAAAGGAAGGTGGTGGAAAAGCAAGAGAAATAATGGGTGCTGCAGATTACGCAGGCTCCACTGGCCAGGACTTCAGGTGTGAGAGCTGAAGTTACATATCAGTGGGCTGAGAGCTGGCGGGGAGCAGGGAGGGTCACAGACTGAGCCTGGAAGTTGGCCTTAGGCAGCATTATGTACAACAAGTGATAAACCTTCCTCTTAGGAGTCTTTTTTTTTCCCCCCGGCCCTGCCACTCGGCTGACCAGGGATCAAACCCGGGGCCTTGGCAGTGAGAGCACAGAGTCCTAACCACTGGACCATCAGGGAATTCCCAGGAGTCTTTTAAAAAAACAAAACAAAACCTCTACTCTTTATAAAATTACAAAGTACAAAACCCAGAAGCCAGGATATTCCCTTACTAAGATCTTTTTTCTAAATGATGTTATATCATTACAAGTAAAATAAATAAGCAGTATTGTAAAAAACATGCATCCATTTGGTCATAAGGATTTATATTATTTGTTTGTAATAACAACTTTATTATGAATTAGTATACTTTCACTGTAATGTAAAATATGTAAAAACAAGAACAATAACAACAAAATAAAGATCATTTAATATCCCACACTCTGAGGTAATCACAATTTTGGTTATCAAGTGTCAGGGGCAAATAAGGTGGTAGTGGGGAAAATCACTGAGGTATTTTAAATAGACATTTGTTTCATTACTTGGAACAATAATAGAGACTTTAACTACAAATTATGAGCATAGAGGAATTTGTAATTTCTACAAATGAGAAAGAAAATATGAATATAGACATTGTTGGACTTTGAAAGCTTTTCCACTGTTTAATAGTTAGCTGAACAGTCTCCAGATCAAATTAAGTAGCGCTCTCAAAGTGTCTGAAAGGCACATGGCTCTTATTCCAGACCCCAGAGCTTTTTGGTCAGAATCATGAGCTCTTAGAAATATTAAGAGAGCACAGGACCTTTCACTGACAATGAAAGGTCCTAATGTGTTGAAAGTTCCCTATTCCAACTATTAATACATATACAACTAAGGAAAATAGAGTTAAACAAAAGAGAAATAAAACGAAATATTCAGAACCAGTGTCCTTAATGAAATGGACACAGTTGTGTAATATCTCAGACTCTCATCTGGCCAAAAGAAGTATCTTTCTAGGTCTAGATACTTTTACTTCACCCAGTTTGAGAAATATCTATGACATTTAAAGTATTCAGTTCTGAACAAAAGAAAATGTAAACTCAGCCTTTCAAGGATGAGCTGAGAGATTTTGCTGAGGAACTGGAGCACCATCTAATTAACACCGGAGGGAGTTCCCTGGTGGCCTAGTGGTTAGGATTCTGGGCTTTCACTGCCAGGGCCTGGGTTCAATTCCTGGTCGGGGAACTGAGATCCCGCCAGCCATGTGGCGTGGCAAAAAAACCCACAAAAAAACAGAAATAAACAAACAAAAAAAAATACGGGAGTCACATCATTTCAAAGGTAGAGAATAATAGTATTATTTAAATAATAGCTTTAGTGAAGTATGGTTGACATAAACTGCACATATTTAAAGTGTACAATTTGATAGGTATATATATAACCAAAATAACATATCTGTCACTACTAAAAGTTGCCTTGTGCCTCTTTGCAGTCCTCCTCTCCCCCTTTCCCCGCCATGCCTTCCTCCCACCCCCGTCCTCAAGCATCCACTGATCTGCTTTCTCTCATTATAGATTATTTCCTAGAGTTTTATATAAATAGAATTGTACCGTATGTGAGAGAGTGCTATTTTAAAAGCTGAATGGGAAAGAAAATAAATGTTTCAGCTGTTACGTGTAAATGTACTGCAGTAATACATTTTTTAAAAAACTTTTTAACGAGTAATTTTTTTCAGTATCAAAGGAGTGTTACATGGATAAACAACAAGGTCCTACTGTATAGCACAGGGAACTCTATTCAATATCCTGTGATGAACCATAATGGAAATGAATATAAAGTAAGAGTTTATATATGTGTGTAACTGAGTCACTTTGCTGCTGCACAGTAGAGATTGGCACAGCATTGTAAATCAACTATACTTCAGTAAAAAAATTAATATTGGGTCTTTGGATATATGAATAGGGTGTATCTTTCCATTTACTTACATCTTTAATTACTGTCTCCATTGTTTTGTAGATTTTAGTATGTAGGTCTTGAATGTCTCTTGTCAAAATAATCACAGGGTATTACATATTTTTGATGTTATTGTAAATAGTACTTTATTAATTTCATTTTCTATGTGGCCATTGTTAGTATATAAAATATGCTACATTTCTAAATTCATTTACTAGCTGTAATAGGTTTTGGCTAGATTACTTAAAAGTTTCTACATAGATGATCATGGATCTACAAATAAAGTCAGTTTAAAATTTTCTCTTCCTATTATATATCTTTAATATTCTTCTTGCTTTATTGCATCTGCTTGTATTTCCAGTAAAGTGTTCAAAAGAAAAGAAAAAAAAGGAGTGTTACATGCACATGGTAAAACATTTGGATAACTCAAAAGTATGTACAGTGAAAAGGAAGTTTCTCTACCACCGTACACCCCCCTCCACCAGACCACTAGTCCCTGAGTCCTTCTCTCAAGAGACAACTACAATTACCAGTTTCTTTTACAGCCTGCCAGAAATAATCTCTGCATATACAATTATCTAGATTCATCAACAAACTAGAACATGCTATATCTTCTGTTCTGCAACTTACTTTTCCTTTCCTTGTAACAGTAGATTTTTAAATTTTTCCATAGGAGTACATGGAGAACTCTTTCATAGCTGCATAAAAACCCATTGTATGGATTTCTTTATTGAGTCCTCTATCAATGGAAACTTAAATGTTTCCCCACCACTCCCCTTTAATTTTTTTTTTTTTTTTGGCTGTGTTGGGTCTTCATTGCTGTGCATGGGCTTCCTCTAGTTGGAGTGAGCGGGGGCTACTTTTCATTGCGGTGCATGGGCTTCTCACTGCGGTGGCTTCTCTTGTTGCAGAACACAGGCTCTAGGTGCGCAGGCTTCAGTAGTTGCAGCACACAGGCTCAGTGGTTGCGACACGCGGGCCCTAGAGCACGTGAGCTTCAGTAGTTGTGGTGCTTGGGCTCGGTAGTTGAGGTGCGCAGGCTCAGTAGTTGTGGCTCATGGGCTCTAGAGCGCAGGCTCAGTAGTCATGGTGCACGGGCTTAGTTACTCCACGGACATGTGGGATCTTCCCGGACCAGGGCTTGAACCGGTGTCCCCTGCATTGGCAGGTGGATTCTTAACTGCTGCACCACCAGGGAGGTCCTCCCCTTTCATTTTTGACTAATGTAAACAATGATGCAGTAAACATCCTTGAAATTAGACCTTTGAACACTCATGTAAATACATCTGCAGGCTAAACTCCTAAAAGTAAAATTAATTGGCCAATTAATGTCTTTTTAAAATCTTGATAAATAGAACCAAATATCCTCCAAAGAGGTTGTGCCTGTTTACACTTTCACCAGCCTTGTATCATGTGCTCAGAATAGACCTCACACTCTCACTATGTATTATCAGACTCTTTGATCTTTGACAATCTGATTGATGAAAACTGGCATCTAGCTTCACTAGATCTTTTCTTTTGTCATGGTGATACTTAATTTTTTTATTGAAATATACTTGACATATAACATTGTGTAAATTTAAGATGTACAACATGTTAATCTGATACATTTATTTTCATATGATTGCTATTGTAGTGATAATTAGCACCTCTATCACCTTACATAATTATTCTCTTTTATAGTAGTGGGAATGATTAAGTTCTAGTCTCTTAGCAAGTTTGGTAATTATAATACCATTTTGTTGTCTATACTCAGTACACTGTGTATTAGATCTCTAGGGCTTATTTACTGCTTATTGTAAGTTTGTACCCTTAAACAACGTCTGTCCTTTCCCCCTATTCCCCAGCCTCTGTTAAGCACTTTCTCTGTTTTTATAAGTTTGGCTTTGGGGGCATTTCCTTATAGTAGTACAGTTGACCATCTTTTCTTATGTTTATGAACTATTGATATTTTTTGTAGTTATCACCCTGTGTATAAATCAATATTTTAAATCAGTCATTTTCATGCTGCCAGAAAATTTTGGTTAGGCCTTGGAATGTTGCCCCTCAGTATAGTGCTGGTCAGGACCTCAAAGGATGGGGAAGAAAAGTTAGCTGTCAGTGTATACTCACTTTTTTTCCAGAAATCCTCTGAGAATTCCCAGGAAGTCTATTCTGAAAGCAATATTACAGTCTTTGTGATTATATACATGGCACTCTTTCTGGCTTGCAAAACTGATTTTAATAGTGTTCTGTATTCAGGTTGAAGGTAATGAAAGGTTTCCTATCCTTCCTCATAAACTATGAGACTTAGTTATGGTGGAAATAAAGATAATGTCTTTGTGAGATGCAAAGCCCAAGGGACACAATTAGAAAATCAGCTTTTCCAGTTCCTATCAAAATTTGTATCTTGCTTACTAATTAAACTATTCCATGTAGGAGAAATAAAGAAATGCTGGGAATGAAAAGAGGAGAGGAAATGGTGGGAGTAGCAATAACACTCCCTTCAAACTTAGGATGATCTAGTCGGAAAATTTTATTAAGTATTGTAAGCTGGAGCAGCTTAGCCAGAAAAGGTAACTGGCACCATATGGAAGAGTGGAGTAATCCTTTCAGGAGCATTGCTCTCAGGACACTTTGCAGGAGGCTGATTATCTGAACACTGGCTTGTCTTACTTTGAAAGTGTAAGCGGGACCCTGCCTTGTCCGAGAGCAGGCACTGCTCTGGTGAAGTTGTGGTATTTCTGGTTGACAGGTGTAGTGGTGTTGAACACTTTATTTTGGAAGTTATTGGGCGCCTCCCTGACATGGAGATGGTGATCAATGTACGAGACTATCCTCAGGTTCCTAAATGGATGGAGCCTGCCATTCCAGTCTTCTCCTTCAGTAAGGTAAGTATAGGAAGAGCCATATGAGGGGATGGAGGGTGGTCCTCTAGCATATAAGCAGGAGATGACTGTGGCAGAGTCTGATGGGTGATGGTGAGGATGAGGCCTGAGGTCCAAAAGTGGGTCTGTGTCCCTGTTAGCTTCACAGTCATTGAACGATAAGACTGAGGAGATGGGGTTGAGGACCCGTAAGTGATGTGAGTAAGGTTGCTTGTGTTTATAGGGCTAAGGATGGAGGGTAGGGAATGAGAGAGGCCTGAGGAACCTCTAGGACATTGGAGGTGGGATTCAGAGATCCTACAGAGCATGGGAGAGAGTGGCCCAAGAAAACTCATGGGCTTGAAGTTAGGGAAAACCTGCATTCAAAGAAAAGATTTGTTGAGCTTCTACATTGTATGTATCAACCATAGTATTAGGAATCGTCTGTCCGGCCACTGTATCCCAGGGTCCCAGCCTGGCTAACAGTGAGACTGAAGGTGCTAGATAACTTCACACAGTTTGCACCCAAGCAATGTAGTGAGGGGATATGCCTGCGATACCCGAGAGGGATATGTGAGGGGGTGATCTTTGGGTCTAGTTATGGAGAGATAGGAGTACTAGGACACACTTGTGGGCTTGGAGAACTTGGGACAGTGAATATCTTAGTGCTCAGGTTCTTGTAAATGGTGTATTAGCAGGAATGGGCCTTCATTCCCTAGAGACTAAATATGAAAGCATTTGGGGGCAGGGATGGGAGGAGGCTAGAAGAGAGTGGATGGGAGATTCTATGGGAGAAGAGTGGGTTTAAGAAAACCCTCTGAACTTTGAGAAAATAACTCCATTTCTGATTTGGTGTCTCCAAAGCAGAGGAACTTTTCATCCCCACTTTTTCTTTATCACAGTTTACTTTCTCTCTAGACTTGTTTATTTCCTGTGTTGCAAGTGGGCTGAGGCCACATTTGTGTTGCATTTCCCATGCTTTAGCCTCATTTCTCAAAAGTGCTTGGTCCCGTTATTTCTCATGAAGCCCTCTCAGAAGAACAGATAGAGGCTCCCATGTAAGTCAGTAAGGACTTTGTGTTTATTACTTATCTGTTTTTTCTGTGGATAATAAGTATGACCATCAGTATACTAACTTTCCTTTCATCTTTAATCCCCTCCCTTTTTTTTTCTGAACCAGTGACTCTTAGTTTGCAAGGGAGGGATTTTAGTCTGTCAGCTTTATAATAAATGTGCAGTTTCTTTTGAACAGCTGTTATGCCTGAGGTGCTTGATAAATCACGTACCATTTTTTTAATATTTGAAAGACAAACAGCATATTGCATATGTAATTCCAATGGAAGAAACAGTAGAATTAGAGGCTTATCAGTGACCAGAATTTTAAGAGAGGTAACCGTGTAAAGGGAACAAATGGTTTCAAACTTTTTTCAAAAGATGTGGGATAACACCCCTCCCCCCGCATTCTGCCCATCACTACTTTTGACCCTGATCAAAAAAGAAAAATAACCAAAAAATAACTCACAATTTATTGACCAACCAATGTGAGCTCAGCAGTGCCACAGTAATAGGTAATACTAACACTTACTGAGCATTTACTTTGTGTCAGACACTGTTCTAAGTTTTTTACATGTACTAACTCATTTAATATTCAAAACAAGCCTATTAGATAGATAATATTATTGATATTATTATTTATCCAGTTATAAAGGTAAGGAGACTGAAGCATAGAAAGATTAAGTAACTTGCCTAGAGTTGGAAAGAGGTGGAGTCAGATGATCTTTCTCAAGAGCCCACACTCTCAACCATTGCACTATGTTTCCTAATTCTTGCTCCTAAAAGACCTATCTAGGAAATAACTAAGAACTGGTAAGATAGTATACACTCCAAGTGTAATATCAATTAAAATATGAGACAGCTATGTGATCATTCAGAATTGGGTATATTATTTCCCTAAACTAAAAACTCCAACAGTATATGTCCTCTAGAAAAACAGAACTTTGGGGAACTGGAAAAGTTGACCTTTAGTGTGATTTCGTATTCTGGGATTCAGTCAGCCCACGAATTTTAACCCATGGTCATTTTTGCCTTTTAGCATCTAGAGTCTAGACTTTGAAGACTAGGGAAAATATATCTTTGACAATATAACACTGGAGCAAGGCCTTTTCCAGATCCCGTGGCATGAACGCAGTTTGCTGCTTCTTCTTCCGCTCTGAGACTGACTTAGAATAACCTCTCTGTTTCTGTTGAAGACATCAGAATACCATGATATCATGTATCCTGCTTGGACATTTTGGGAAGGAGGACCCGCTGTTTGGCCAATATATCCTACTGGTCTTGGACGGTGGGACCTCTTCAGAGAAGACCTGGTAAGGTAGGTCCTTTAGAGAGGTTTTATTTATCCCTCTTTGTGGGTCGTCTTGAAGTAAACAGTGAAGTATAAACAATTAATTTTGTTTAAAAGGACTAACTTTTTGTTTTTTAAGGACTAACTTTTAAGCTAAAAATGAAAGATAAAAAACTATAGCATAAGCAATTTTGTATGTGTATAAAAATGTTTACATATCCATAGAAAAAGAGCAAAAGAACCTACCCTAAAGTGTCAGCAATGCTTCTGTGGGAGGGATTCTAGAAGCCTCTTCTTGAAAGTTTTCTGTACTGTTAAGTTTCTCTAAATAAGAGTGAGTTACTTTCATAAGTAGGAAAAAATGAATGACCATACTGTGGGGAAGGATAGAAAATTACTTGGAAGCACATAAATGTACTTGGTAATTAAGAGCTAAGTCCTTCAGGCAGGGATGGTGTGGGTATAAATGTCCCATAGATATCTCAAGTACAAGCTTATTCCAAATACTCTCTAATTCACGATTGAAACCTGCCTTGGCCTGTTGACTGTATCCCGCCATTATTTCAGAATTTAGATTGTCCAGGTCATCAAGCTGTACGTACTTCTTACCTAGCTACATTTTACATGAATCATTCCAACAACATTGGTACCTAATGAGAAAACTTCTAAAAACACACCTTTCTAGGTATTCTCTCAGATGTAGGGAAAGCAGTAGTTTAATTCAACTTCATTTCCACAGATATCTATCACCTGTACTATGTGTGGCTGGAGATTTAAATGAGATGAAGAGAAAGTCCCTTCTCTGGAGAAGCATATAAGGCCGCGGTCCTCAGTGGCAGCTAGAGCCACTGGGTAAAGAAACAAGTTTATTATTCAGTAGGTATAATTAGGAAGTTATTTTTTAAGATAACTTGGTCTCATACTTCATAGAACTGGACCTGGAAATTGTTCTTGTCCAACTGTTTATTTCAGAGATGAGGGAATTCAGGCTCAGAGAGGTTAAGTGACTTGGTCAAGAAACCAATTTAGGCCTGAAGTCTAGGTTTCCAAGTGCATTATTCTCTCCACTTGACTACTTAATATTTCCTGTGTTCTCCAGACATTGAGACCATCATTTCTTACTTAGCATTTCATTTTGAACATAATTTTGAGAGAGGGAAAAATAAAAATGTCTTAAACCTTTTTTTCTCCAAGTTATTCCTGACTTTAGTTTTCTAATCCTTTTTCTGTTTTTTCAGGTTCTTGCAAATACCCTTTTCACACTCTTCTTTTTGTAGCTCTTTTCCCACCTGCTGTACATCTATTTTGTTTTTAAAATCATTTTAAAAACAATTTTTTTCTGAATATGAAACCTTTACATGCTCATAAAAATTTATAAGTGTGTCCAACTTAGGCAACTTTTTCCCCGCTTATTGGTGTCTTAGAAATCTTTCCATGTCAGTACATATGAAATGACCTCATTATTTTAAACAGTTGCATGGTATTCCATCAGATAATAATTTATTGTGTCCTTTGATGGACATGTAGGCTGCATGTGTAATATATGCATAATTTCTTGTTTTCTGGACTATTTGAGAATATGTTGCATACCTTATGACCCTGTACCCCTTAATACTTTCGTGCATATTTCCTAAGAGCAAGAGTGTTCTCTTTTATAACCACATTGCAATTGTCAATTAGAGGAAACAATATTAATTTAATACTTAGTTGTCCCAATAATGTCCCATAAGGCATATTCCCCCTCCAGTACAGGAGCCAATCCAGCATCATGTGTTGTATTTAGTCCTCATGTCTCTTTAATCTTTAATCTGCAGTAGCTCTTCAGTCTGTCTTTCTCTTCCGTGACTCTGACATTTTGAAGAATACAGGCCACTGAACATTTTTGATACAATGACACTGAACATTTTTAATAGAATGCTCTTCAGGTTGGTTTTGTCTATTTCCTCATGATTAGATTCAGTTTATGCACTGCTGGCTCAGATACTTACATAAATGATTTTGTGTGTATCCACCTCTCGTTAGAGATGTTAATTTTGATCACCTGGTCAAGGTGTTATATCAGGTTCCTCTACTGTGTAGTTACCGCCCTTGTAAACTAATAAGCAATTTTTAGGGAGATAGCATATGTTTTAAAATCTAATCTTAAGTGAATTTGTTTTTCTTTTGATACCTTCCCCTTTTATTCTTCAGTTGAACCTATTCATGATTATAGAATTGCAATTTTATTTTTCAGAGCCCTCCGTTCAGAATCTCTAGCCCCATGATTTCATTTCTCACCTTTAAACTTTAGTAATCTACTTGCTTATCTACACTGATGTCTGCCTGGCATTTTCCTATTTTTATCAACTTTTGGGAGTTTGTTCCCATTGACTTACTTTTCACTTTGTGGAAGAATTCAGTGTCCCTGTGCATTTAAAGAATTCACTCTATGGTCAGCGGAGAGGTGGGGTTATAAAAGAGGGCTGGGGCACCACCAAGCTGTGGTGGCCACTGTTAGTGCTTGCCGGGAGACAAATGTCCTAACATGGGTCATTTGAGGGGTGGGTAGGTGGGTAGGAAGAATGAGGGAGAAAGAAAACAGAGATGATACTTGGTTCAAGTCTGTGTCTGCGGCTTTCCCCAGGGACCAAGGAAGTTTATACTCAAAATTTCAGTATAAATTGATGCATTTTTTGTTGGGTAGTTTGGCAGTATATATGAAAATGTAAAATGTTTATATCCTTTGACCCAGCAATTTTACTTCAAGAATTTATCCTAAGAAGATAATTAGACAAGCATGCAAAGATGTGTGTACAAGGATATTCACTTCAGTGTTGTTTCTTAAAGAAAAAAGTTTAAAACTACCTGAAAGCCCACCAGTAAGGAATGAAGTGAATTGCGACATGGTTATAAAATGGAATACTGTGCATGAATGGAAAGTAAAGGTAGCATAGGACTTAAAAACAGGGACTCTGGGTTCAAACCCTGGCTCTTATTAGCTGTGTGACTCTAGACAAATTGCTTAACCTCTCAAGGGCCTCAACTATAAAGTAGGGTTAATGAAACCTACCTTGTAAGGTCATGAGAATGAGTTTATATTTATATAGCACTTAGAACACTGCCTGGAACATGGTAAGTGCTATATAGGTGTTGGCTCTTATTATTATCTATAATATGTCCTAATAAGAATGTTAGCTAGCAACATGCATGGTATGATCTCTGTTATATAGAGCAAGGTTTTTCAATCTCGGTACTCTTGATGTTTGGGGCTAGATCATTCTTTGTTGTAGGGGGCTGTCCTGTGCCTTGTGGGTTGTTTAGCAGTATCCCTGGCCTTTGCTCACTAATGCCAGTAGCAATCCCCTAGTAGTGAAAATCAAAAAATATCTTTATATACGGCCAAATGTCCCCTTGGGTAGAGGGGCAAAATCACCCCCAACTGAGAACCACTGATGTGGAGAGATGATTGGAAGGAAATTCTTCACTGAAATGTTAAATTGTTAAAAATAGTTATCTGTAGGTGGGGAGATTCCAGATGAATTTTTTTTACTATTAGAATTTTATATAATGAGTATATACTATTTTTTTCATTAAAAATAAAAAAACAAAAAAACCAATTGCTATAGTGTTTATATTTTGGTGGGAGGGAATATGAGACAGAGAAATAGTTGGACTGGAGAATCGGGTAATGATGATCCAGCAAAGAAAGGACTAGAAGATAAGCCAGGAAAATAAGAGCAGTGGTCTCACCTGAGAGAAAATGGGACACTATCTGAACCTGAAAAGTATCTCTACCTGAAAAGCTTATGTTCTAAATCTCTCCATTACAGCAAGTAGCTCACCAATCCCTCATTAACTCCAGTTCAGTCCAACCCCCTCCTTTTTCAGAGGAAGACTCTACACAAACTTCTGTGAAGGGTTCCTACAAAGTAAGTTAAGAATGATGCATCTGTGGACTAGCAGTTTCAGCAAGGAAGGCTGGCTGTGGTAATGGGTACTGAGACCTGAGTTTCAGGGACTTCGTCTTTATGGAGCACTAAGTACAGTTCTGGGGATACCAGGTACTTTGGAAAATCAGACTAAATCTGATGATAACTCCTGTGCATCTAAAACATGAAGTCAGGAAGTGATTTGTTTCCTTGCCCTTAATTCAGTTTCTGATATTTTCTGCAGTTGTCTTTGCCTGTTAATTTTATCAATAGACTCTAATTAAAGTGGGGAAGAAATCCTCATTGTACTGAATTAAATAGCCCTAAACATGTCACTTAGTTTTGGGAACTTTTCTTTCAATGTTGTTAACTTATTTACCAGGCCGTAGATTTGTAGATATTGCTTGCCAGCATCTCCATAGGAATGAAGTAATAACAAAAGGGAACATAATGTTATTTAGAGCTTTTTCTTTGGAGTAGCCCGGATCAGACTGATTTCAGAATGTAAAGATCTCAGCTAATCTTCAGAAATGGTTCAAAGTCATCCTTATATAGTTAAGGAAGAAACATAGAAACTAATGAAATCTATTTTTAGGTCAGCAGCACAGTGGCCATGGAAAAAGAAAAATTCCACAGCATATTTCCGAGGATCAAGGTGATTATACTTTCTGACATTTTACAAAAGTATTTTTCCAGTTAATGTGCAAAATATAAGTAATTTTGAGGGTGTGAGGAACCCTAGTTTAAAGAGAAAGCTAAGATAACTAAGAAATAAACATAGAATCACAGAATTTTAGACTAGAGAAGAACTCAAATGATTTGCCCAAATCACTCTAAGTTGAACTGAAATTCCAAGAAGTAAAGTTCATCTGTCCAGTCATTCAACAGATATTTACAAAGTGCCACGAGTGTGATGGGCTTTGACTATGTATAATGCTGAACAGAACAATGAGGTGTCCTCTTGCCTGAGAGATTACAGTTTCCTAGGAGTAGCTTATGATCGTGCCCACAGTCCCTCTGCCACTTAATGGCAGGGTGGGAACCATCACCAGCTCTTCTGACTGCCTTTTTCATCAGACCATGTGGCTGCCAAATAGTGGTGGAAGCGCAGACTGAGACTGGTGAAAATGGAGAGGGAAGCAGGGAAGGAAGAGAGGAAGAGGGAAAGAGAAAAGGTTGGGGAAGGACCCTGTCCATGTTGTTCAGCTCCGTATCCCTGGTGCTAAGAGCAGTACCCACCACATAGATGCAGAATGAGTACCTGTTAGACAGATGAATACAGAAGAGAATGTTTAGGGAGAGAGTTTTGTAGTTTTCTCAGAGCATCCTTGTCCGAGGTCACGGCCTCTCTTCACTCGCAGTGGACTTCAGCCCAACAGCAACTGCTTATGCTTCCTTACCAACCTCTCTGGCTCTCAGATCTTCAGATCAGATTCTTAACTTGGGATCCATGTGTGGACTTCAGGAGTTTTAGGGATTCCTTGAAATTATATGGGGATATGTGCATTTTTCTAGAGAGGGGGTCCACAGTTCTCATCAGATTCTCAGGGGGTCCATGACCCCTCAAATGTCAAGACCATCTGCTACTAGGACCATAACTAGGACTTTTTCTACATGCAGTTTTCAGGTGTTTGAGCCTTTCAGTTTTCTTTTTAATTTAAACATTATACTGGATTTTACAAAGCACACCCCACAAAGGTCACGTAGCTATTATGGTGAGTGGTGATTACCTAGTCACACAGCTATGAGTACCAGTGATTAGAGGTTACATGAATCTTCTAAAAGGGAAATAACTCCCTGGGATATGGCTATAGTGCCCAGATCAACATAATCCTAAAGACTAGAATGCAAGCAAAGAAGGGCCAAATACTCCCCTTCCCTGAAGGGTAAAGTGGAGAACAGCCCAGGACCTCCTAGTTGCTGTAGGATCTAGTATCCCCCTCCTCTTCTATTAAAGTAACCAATGAATTGTCCATCAGTGTGTACAGTCTTTTTCATTGGGTCCGATTACTGCTTCCCTTTCAGAGATTGAGAACAGTATTATGGTGTAGGACACATAGTTTTATGTCATGTGTTTCTTTTATAGGACAAGTCCAGAACGAGATCCTCTCATTCTTCTATCTCGGAAAAGTCCAAAACTTGTTGATGCAGAATACACCAAAAACCAGGCCTGGAAATCTATGAAAGTAATCACCAATCATCTGACTAGAACTACAGCAGTGAACATTCTCACTCAAAGAGCGTTGCCACCTGGGTAGAATTTGAGATTAGGTTTCCTCTCAGTGTTGGGATGAATATAGAGAAAGGTCCATGGACTAAAATTAGCATATATGTAAATTATTCTTTTTCAAACTCACATTGCTTTTCTGGCCCATATTATGACTTGTATTTTATACAATTTTGAAGGTTTAAACAGAGGTCACAAACTTTTTGTGTAAAGGACCAGATGGTAAATGTTTTAGGCTTTGCAGATTCTAGAGTCTGGGTTGTGGTTACTCAGCTCTGCCACTGCAGTGTGAAATCAGCCGTAGACAATATGTAAACGAATGAGCATGGCTGTGTTCCGATGAAACTTTATTTATGGCACTGAAATTTGAATTTCATGTAATTTTCCTGTGTCATAAAATATTCTCTTTTGGATTTTTTTCCAGCCATTTGCAAGGTAAAAATAATCTTAGTTTATGTGTTGTGTACAAAAATAAGCAGTGGGCTGGATCTGGCCTGTGGTCTGTATGTTTGCCAACCTCTGGTTTAAACCAGTGGTTCTCAACCCTGACTATACAATCCAACTAGAGAACTTAAAAATGAATAGAATGAATCAGAGTCTTTGGAAATGACATATAAGCATCTTCATTTGTTTAAAACTCCCCAAGTGACTCTAAGGTGAAAGCAATGACTGGCTTCTTTGGTTTGAAGTCCATCTCTATCCTCTTAACTCTTTCTTGCCTTATTCAAAGAACCTTAAGCCCTAAATGTCCTCATCTGAAATTTCCATATACCATATGAGGATGATATGAGAAAAATGTTTAAACTTCTTGTCAGAAAAACTAAGTAAAAACTAAGAAATACTAAGTAAAGCTGCATGTATTTATTATGTGACTGCTTAATTCAAACAGGAGCAAATGCAGTATAAGAAACTTTGTTAAAAAATAAAAATATGAAAAATGTATCCATTCAGCCCAGCATCTACTATGGGAGGCTGCAAAAGCAAACAAGACTTGTTCCCCTCATCGAGTTTACCCTCTGCTAATGTGGCTGGAATACAGATGGGGGTCTCAAACTCCGATACCCCCAGGGGCTGCACTAGTGAGCAGGAGAGAGTGCTGAAGGTCTGGTCATTGCTGCCCAGGGGAATAGGAGCTCTCTTTGCCAAATCTTCCTTTTTTTTCCCCAAGAAAAGTTGGAAATCTGCGTTTTTGTAAGAAACACCCTACCACCTATAAATGTTGGCAGTGGTTAGAATATTTATTTTTAAATACTTTGTGAGCTCAACAAAATTTGTGTGTGGGCTACACCTCTAAGCCCACCAGCCACCATTTGTAACCTCCTGTGCAGTATGATTTACACAGAGTGAAATGTGCTGCAGGCCATGACCTCTGAGTTCAGGGGATTCACATGGTTCCAAGGGAGCTTAAACTCTAAAATCAGACAGAACCAGGTTGAAACCCGAGCTCTTCTACTTAGGGCCATGCGACCCTGAGCAAGTCTCCCAACTTCTCAAAGTCTTGGCTGCTTCATCTATAAAGTGGGATAATCATGCCTCCTGACTCTGTTTATTATAAGACTTAAATGAGGTCATGTTGATGAAATGTTTAGCAATGCTTACTGCACAGTGGTCTTCAATAAATGCTCCTACTCCTAGTGTTAATAACTTCCTTTTCACTGAAAGGATACCTTGGGAAAGCCAGCTGCTAAGGATGTCCATCTTGTGGATCACTGCAAATACAAGTAAGACTTACAGAACTCCTGACTCTCCTAGTTTCCCTATTGCTTTTGGAATAGCTTCACTTTGGGTGAGAGTTTTAATACTAGGGTCCAGGTGGGGTTTGTGAAAGTCACATGAATTTACTTAGCTATTATTTTCTCAGAGTCTGCTGTGCACAAGGCTCTGAACTAGGTTCTGTGGGAACTGTGGAGACATGAAATGTGGTCCCTGCTTCCAAAGAGCTTGCGTGCTTGTAATCAAAGGGATGGGGTTCCTTCTCTCCACAGCCCGCCCAGCCAAGAGCTGAAGTTAGATCAAGTATTTATTAGGTTATTAAAAACAGTTTACGGTCCAACATGAATAAAGCATATGTAACTATTATATTTAAATGCCAGGACTAAGGATTATATGCACATGTAAAACCAGGTCAGGAGGAGGGCAGTGGGGGGATTCAGAGAGATGAATGCTGATTTTCCTGCACAGTGGGAACTATAGGGTAGAAGCAGCTCCGGTTGGAGACAGGGGAAAATGCATGGGAAATGCTGAAAAGAAAATGTTCTTTTCTAAGTTAGCTTTTTTCCAAGGAGCATTTCTTTGAAGATTGATTAGGTATGCCTGGTTGTCTTCTCCAGATTTCATAAGAGGGAATAGGGAACAGGGCACGCCTTTGACCAGGTAGGGTACCCTATGGGAAAAACAAGGCTTTGGGAGGCCATGATGAGTTCAAGACTTTAGGCCTAGAAAAACTTGTAGCAAAGGGTGAGGTGTTGTTTCCATCTGAGCCTTGTATCCGCTGTACCCAGCACCCAGCTGCTGGCCCTATCAGTCTCTCCCTGGAGAAAGTATCCCTTTTTTCCCCTCACCCTGATATCCCCAGGAACAACCTCTAACCCCTGGAACAACAAGGAGTTTATAGAAACTTCACAGGGACATGCTGATGTGTCCTTGAAGACTGAAAATGGAAAAGGAAAGGAGAGGGGGTAATAAAAGGAAAGAAGGGTAAGAGGGAGTAAGAAAAAAAGGTCATATTTGTGGAAGTAGGCATATAGTTTCAAGTATATTTTGCTCTTTCTTTTCCAGGTATCTGTTTAATTTTCGGGGTGTAGCTGCAAGTTTCCGGTTAAAACACCTCTTTCTGTGTGGTTCACTTGTTTTCCATGTCGGTGACGAGTGGCTGGAATTCTTCTATCCACAGCTGAAGCCGTGGGTTCACTATATCCCAGTCAAAACAGATCTCTCCAATGTTCAGTAAGCAGCTCTCCCCCAAGCAGAGTTTCCGATGACTCCCGCAATCTGCCTCTAAGTCCCCAGCCATTTAAGACATTTACTCCTGATGACTTTTTCCATTGAAAGCTTTTTATTTTTCATATTTGGTCCTCAAAATAGTATTGCATTATTATCCAACTAGGCTGAGTGGGATTTAATTTTTAAAAGTTCTCTAATGCTGATTTAAAATGTAACATTCAGACAGTATGCAGTGAAAAAGCTCTAATCTCTCAAAGACTAGAGATATGGGTATTCAATTGTGTTATATTGTCAAAAGGACTTTCAGATACAGCATGAAAATTGACCTCAGTGAAACTGAGGCAAGTTTCCTCTCATGGAGGGAGGGGCTAGGATGAGGAATGGAGAAGGGCCAGAAATGTAAGCTCAGCGCCCTCTTCTGGGGGCCAGAGCAAGAAACAGGAGGGAAATTTTTTTCTTTACTATTGATTTTTGATGGGTATCGTTGAACATTTCTCTGTTTTTCCAAATATGTTCCGGAACTACAACATTGTCTTCCGCCTGTGTGTGAGATATTTGTTGCTGCTGTTGTTGTTGTTATTTTGTTCCTGTGAGGACCTGATATCTTTGCTTTAAAAAAGAAATAATTCACTATCCACATATCTAGAGATTAACTATGGACCTCACTCTATGATCTCTCTGACTTAGTACTAATGAGCTTGGTCTGTATTTCAGAGCCTAATAATTCTCTCCATTTTAGGGAGCTGTTGCAGTTTGTAAAAGCAAATGATGATGTAGCTCAAGAAATTGCTGAAAGGTAAGTTCTGTTCATTTTTCTTTTTCCACTTTATCATCCCCATTTTGCCTGAGCTAATGTCATAAGAATGCTGTTACCATGGTGATACCTGAATTTCAGCCTCATTATACAGAGATGATCAGAATCAAAGCTGTCTTGGGGGAAAACACACATTCACATATGTCCCAAGCCCATACTTTGTAGAGTTAGACTGAAATCTTTGAAGTCATTCAAGTACTGTTTCTGAGGATTGGCTGTTTACATATTTGTTTGTAAGAAAAAAAAATCATGTCTATTTCCAAATGCGTGTGTGGATATGATGGCTATAGAGTTGGTTCTGAAGATCAGAGTTAATTTATATAAAGTACTCTGAACAGTGCTTGGCACAGGTAAAAACGCTCAAGTGTAAGCTACTAGTATTATTCAATGGTGTGCTTTATTCTTGTTAATCTTGTCTCTAGGGGAAGCCAGTTTATTCTGAACCACTTGCAGATGGATGACATCACCTGTTACTGGGAGAACCTGTTGACTGAATACTCTAAATTCCTGTCCTATAATGTAACAAGAAGGAAAGGCTATGATCAGATTATTCCCAAAATTTTGAAAACTGAACTCTAGTAGTCATCATTGAGCCATAGTCCTCTCTATGGCAGATCTCAGACATCCTGTGGTGAGAAGCTCACTGTGAGTGTGACACCTATACCTTGGATACTGTTACCAAGCCAAATATCTGGTTTTCCTTATCATGCTGCACCAAGAGCAACTTTCGAGAAAGATCCAAAATATGTTTAATATAGATATGAAGCAGCTCAACACTTTGGCTGAATAAGGACCAGAAATCATGAGATGTGGGTTTTGAACCCGATTCTGCCTTTCATTTTCTTAGGACCAATCACAGCTTGTGCCTCAGATCATCCACATGTGTATGTCCCTCACTTTGGAACTGACTGTGCCCATGGGATGATGCCCTTTGTCTCATTGTTTGGAGTAGAAAGTCAATCCTTTGGAACTAGTACAACTCATCACCGCAGTTCTGCAGTTATTCTACACTTGATTTCTGTCGCTATATTTTAATGTAGAAAGCCCTTTAGGGTTTGTGAAAAATACTTGGGGATTATTTCCTAAAAGGTCTAAGGAAGCAGTAGTGTGCCATGCCATGATGTAGGAGCTCTCTTTTGTAAAAGCCTAAACTCTTTGGTACTCAGGAGATTTCTATAAAGCCATGTAGAAGGGGGCCAATTGCATGAGCAATTTTTGCAATTGGATTTCAAGTTCCCTTTTTGTACCTTCACACCCTTCTTTATGTTCTCTTTCAAAAAGAAGACATAAAAACCTCTTAATTTAGGAGATGGTCCTTACTTTTTAGAGGAACTGTGCATAAAACAGCATCTCTTCCTCATTCTTCACACGCCCTTAATATTTTTCCTCCTTGAGTTGGCGGTAGTCCATGCTTGCAGGGATCTCAAGGAGTCTTCATGTGTGAAATGGTGTTAAGTTGGGAGTTTAGAGCATTCAACTTTAGCACTTACTTATATAGGAGATGTTTGTTTTAGTGCACATCCATGTTGGAGTGCTTCCTTTTCCCTTTTTGAAAAAGACATTTGGATAGTAGTTTAATCTCAGGCTGTTCTCCCTAACATAGTTGAAAATGAAGAAAAAATTTTAGATTAAAACCCATATAGCCTGTCCCTGGTGGCACAGTGGTTAAGAATCCGCCTGCCAATGCAGGGGACACGGGTTCAAGCCCTGGTCCAGGAAGATCCCACATGCTGCAGAGTAACTAAGCCCGTGCGCCAAAACTGCTGAGCCCGCGCTCTAGGGCCTGTGAGCTACAACTACTGAGCCCGTGTGCCACAGCTACTGAAGCCCACGCACCTAGAGCCTGTGCTCCGCAACAAGAGAAGCCACCCCAATGAGAAGCCCACGCACCACAACGAAGAGTAGCCTCTGCTCGCCACAATAGAGGAAGCCCGTGCGCAGCAATGAAGACCCAGCGCAACCAAAAATAAATCAATAAAATAAATTTATAAAACAAAAACAAACAAACAAAAAAACCCATATAGTCTGATGACACAGAACCAGCCTTGTCCCTTAGGCCCAAACTTTCCACAGAGAAATCAACTGTTTGCCATTGCCTTTTTTTTTTTTTGCGGTATGCGGGCCTCTCACTGTTGTGGCCTCTCCCGTTGCAGAGTACGCCTCTGGACGCGCAGGCTCAGCGGCCATGGCTCACGGGCCCAGCCGCTCTGCAGCATGTGGGATCTTCCCGGACCGGGGCATGAACCCGTGTCCCCTGCATCGGCAGGCGGATTCTCAACCACTGCGCCACCAGGGAAGCCCTGCCTTTGCCTTTTAAGAACTGTTTGGTATTAACTGGTTTCAAAATTAGTAAATGTGAGATTCAGTTATATAAAATCAGAGACTTTATTCCACTTGTGAAACAGGTGTTGGGCCTTTTAAACTCCCTTTCACAAAATTGTAAGCCTATGGACCTTCTTAGAGGACCTGCTGGTAAGATCATTGCATAGAATAAGGCAGGTGTTAAAAGTTGGATTTTTTTGAGTATTAAAAACTCATGGGAGGGGCTTCCCTGGTGGCACAGTGGTTGGGAGTGCGCCTGCCGATGCAGGGGACGTGGGTTCGTGCCCCGGTCCGGGAAGATCCCAAGTGCCGCGGAGCGGCTGGGCCCATGAGCCATGGCCGCTGAGCCTGCGCGTCCGGAGCCTATGCTCCGCAACGGGAGAGGCCACAGCAGTGAGAGGCCCGCGTACTGCAAAAAAATAATAATAATAACTCTTGGGGACTGTGTTCTTAGGTGCTATAAGTCTGGCATTAAGCAGTCCAGATTTCTGAGTTGTACTGTGGTTTTGCCTAATCAATAGGAGGCCCTGGTAGATACTATCATTCTGTTTTAATTTTCTTCTCACTAAACTAGGAGCAAAATTTTCAGTTCTTTGGATTAGGAGCTGAAGGTGCATTTCCCTGGGAGTGTTTCCTACTTTGCTTCAAGATCCAGCTCAAGCATCATCTTTCAGAACCCTTGTTTTCATTCCTCTAGGCAGTTAGAGGCTTTCATAATACTTTGCTCATGCCTGTATTATATGATATCACATTCCACTGTAGTTATTTGACTGTTTCTTCTACTGTTCTGTGAACTTCTTCATGGGTGAGAATCATGTTTTACTTACCCTGATTTCTCCATTATCCAGCACAGTGCCTCACACAGAAGGATGCACAGAAGAATGTTGGAAGGATGGATGGATGGATGGATGGATGGATGGATGGATGGATGGATGGATGGGGACAGCAGGCTTAACTAAATCCTATTTACAGACTGCCCAGACGTTGACTTCAAGGGGGACTGGACAAGACTGTAAGAATTGGATCAATGTAAATTCTCACCTGCCTTTTGAAGAGTTAATAAGAACATCTTTGTATTTAAGTACAGCAAATGTTATTCAGATTTTACAGTTATTTGTTTACCTCTGCATAGATGGTATGAAGATGGTGTGTAATGACATGTAAAATGTATGGTTTTGAAAATAATTTTTATCTCCATAACTTTTGAAGTTGTTGTTGTTAATACTATCTGGGTCTCAAACTTACCATTTCTTCCTCAGAGAGCTAGAAGCCACACTTTTCTTCAAGGAAAGAAAATAATTGAATTTATTTGAGTGAAGTGGGATACTTGGATAACACAAGTAATGATTTTCCTTTATTTGGGGAGTATTATCATCTGTGTGATGTTGTCAACGCGCCACCTTATTCTGCTGTTACATCAGGTTTTCCTAACAGAAGAGAAAAGAAACCACCTCTAGCTGGTTTAAGCAAAAGAACTTTTTAGAAGGATATGAGGGCATCTCCGAGTAGTTGGAAGGGTAGAAAGCAGAGCAGTTTCAGGAATATCAACAAGGGTTTGGATAGTTTCTGGAGTGCTGCTGTGTGCAGTTCCAGAGACAGCCAGGCTCTGTCTCTCAGCCCAAAATTCCCAAGAGAAAAAAATTTAATGGGCTCCTTTGGGTCAGTTCTGAAGAGGATAGTTCCCTACCCTTTACCCCTGTACTGACTATGAACAAGAGCAACAGAGATACATTAAAAAAAATCTTCTCGTGCATCTAAAGATGCCTTCACTTAACGTAATCCTACTGCATCCCGAGGTAAGATGTGGGTGAAGCAAAGGGGTACAATTACAAATCACTCATTTAATATTTATCAGATACTTCTTGAGCATTTACTGTGCACAGCGGTGGGAGATAAGAAAATGTTTACAACAGGCTCCCTAGCATGAAGGAGCTCTCTAGGTGAGATGATAAAGTAAAAATAATATGAGAGGCTTCATAGGCAGAAGGTAATTAAGGTGTTATGAGGCCTTAATCATAAGGCCAATTATTCATAAAGACAATGTGGATCTGAAGTTTAGAGGGAGAAGAAATTTCTATCTGGTGCAGATGGAAACTTCCTGGAGGTAAAAACTGAGTTACACTTTGAGGGATGGTTAAATGAAGTGGTCCTTGGAGTTCTCAGAATTCGTTCTCTTTACCTGTGGTAACAGTTTATGTCATATATAATATAATAAAATGTAATATATGTAGCAAGGGCAGTACCTGGTGAGCCTAGCAGGGAAAGGGAACCTTCTGCCGCCTGGGAGAAAATTCATAATGGGGGGAGAAGCTACTGGGTTCTATGAGCAGAAATCAGCAAAAGGTCTGAGGGTAGAATAGTGGTGGTTCCAGGCTCACTGTGCTGACCACACTGAAATTTTCCCTTGATGCCTCTACTGTGGTGGCAAATGCACATCCTGGGGAGGAGTCAGCTAAATGTGAAAGAGTGGTCTGAGTGAGCCACGTGACACCTTTTGGCTTAGTGTTGCTCTGAGACCCTTCAAAAAGGCAGACCACAGAGCAGGGAGAGTACTTTCATAGTGGTAAAGGAAGGTAAGCCCCAGGGGCTTGGAGCAGCGGGAGAGTGGGAGGGTGACAGAGTACTTGTCTGAGGAGCTGAGATGGAATAGCAGCAAAAGTGTGGGCGGGGCCTAGGGTCCGTGGACTTCTTGAGCGACCAGATGGCAAAGGGAACCTTACAAATGAAGCTTAGTTACCCAAATGAGAAGCCAGGTATGGAGTTCGCAAAATTTGCCTGTTAACATAACCTCATCTGTATCTGTAAGGTAGTGGGGGGACATTTCAGTTGTATATAAATGATTTCAGTAATAACTGCCCAACACTCCCACCCTCCAATTCAAAGTTCTTCTCATCGCAGAATGATTCTGGGGTCATCTTAAGCATTTAGATTTTCCACATGTACACTAGACAGACTGGACAGCCATTTCCTTGGGCTTTCAGGCCTTGGGACTTTATCCCGGTGCCCACTTCCACCTGTATGGGATAGGCAGCAACCTGCGGCCAGAGCCAAGAGTCAGAGGATCTGAATTCTTTATTGGACAACCTATGTGCCAGCCATGATAGGTACTGGGGATAGAGAGATGAATATAAACGGTCTCTGACCTCAAAGTTAGTCTACTGAGACACATAGCAAATAGGAAATCGTGATGCAACGTAGTAAACGTTATGTTGGGAACTGAATCTAATCCTGGCTCCCAGACACCAGAGATCCTCCTGGCGCCGTGACTGACTCAGCTAGTCACTCTTATCAGTTAACTTCCTGGGCCTTATCTATAGAATTCCAGCTATCAAATTCCTGAACTCTACTGTATCCTACTGAAGAGTGTAACGATTTGTAATTACACCTAGAAAGGAATGAAGGATGGGTAGGGATTGGCAAAGAGAACATGTGACTGTATTTAGTTGCTAGCAAAGATTAAGTGAAATTACACAAACCAGTTTGAGAATATTTTAAATGCGTGCATTTTAATAAAAACTATACTTTGAAGCACGTGTTAGTGGAGACTGTAGTGACGGGAAATTATTGCTGGACTGGTAGAAATTCCAGAAATTGTCCTGCCTTTCGAGAAACAGTAGGCATACGAACTAAGGGGAGTAAAACCCATCTTGTGAAGCCCAGGGCCGATTTCTTTAAAAAGTGTTCTGGAAATCTCGGGGTAACTGGCACCAAGACCCCTCTTCAACGCCTCGGTCCTTTCCGAAAACAAGAATGGACCCCGCCCAGCCCGGTAGTCCGTGACAGGGTAAGTTGGGCTTGTATTTGCGCAAATTGCCTTCCCCTTTCCGTACTCCACTTGTAGTGAACACTGCACTTTCTGCACCTACATGGGGTTTCTGCCGTTTTAAATACGCTAACCTACTTCAGCTTGCGAACACGTCTCGCCGCCTGCAAACTACCCAACTCTCCCATTTTCTGGGCGTAGGAAGAGCAGGCACATGACGCCAAAAGCGGGGCCAGAGAGAGTTGAGCGTGTCTACTCTCCGCCACCTCACTTCCGGCGGGGCGACCCCGCACCGCAGAGGTCCTTCCCGCCTCCAACCGGAAGTGTGTTCGGATCCGGATCCGCCTTTGTTCCTGTTTTGGCCTTTGCCCTCGTTGGGGCGGGACTTCCTGTCTCGTGTGTCCAAGGGCTTCCAAAGGGAGGCCCGGCACTGAGGGCAAGTCTGTCAGGCAGTGTGGCAGCGGGTACGGCCGCGAATTAGCTCGGGCGTAGTGTACGGGTACTCGTACACTCCTTCTTGCAGTT